TTTTGTTTTTGTTTTTTTTCTGGCACACAATTTACTGCGTCGCTTTGTTTGTTTTTAAATTTTCCTTTATTTTTAAACTTTATATTTTTTACACTACCTGCACTGCACGTAAAAAAATTGATTCAAAAAAAAAATTATCAAAGAGAAATTGCATTGCGTTTTCTGCAATAAGTTTCCTTTCTCCCTCTATTTTTCTCTTCCGTTAGCTTTTGTCGCTGCCAGCTCTCTTGCTCTCACAGTCGCGCCGATGACAACAACAAGCGGTGATGCGATAACGATAACGATAACAGCGACTGAATCTCCATTGAGGCGTGGAAATGTGTGGAAAAGTCCGCCGCTTTTCCGGCTTTTCTTTGCCTGTTTATCTGCCTGTCCGTTTTGTGGCTCAATCTGGCTATTTTTTTCTGCATACACTTTTTCTCGTGCAACTTCTTTTTCTCTGCGAGCGTCGCTGCCTTTTCTCTGCTTCTTTCACTTCTCCTTTGCCTCCTTCGTTTTCCTCTATTCACCGTTGTTGTTATTGTTTGGGAGGCGAAAAATCGGAAAAGACAAACAGGACAACAAACAGTTGCGATAAACGACAACGACAACGAACCGCTTACAACTGCCGGCGAACGTCGCCAAAAACGCAGCTTCGTCTTCCTCTGCCTCAGTCGCTGTCTCTGCCTCTGCTGCTGTTGAGGCTGGCAGCGACGCCAGCTGAGGCAGCGACGTTAGCCAAGGCAGCAACGATTCGCGAATGCTGCCACCGAAATATTGTTGCTGCTTTTCATTTTTCCCTTTTTATTAGCTTTCCATAGAAAAATCCTTTCAATTATTTTTTAACATATCATCAGTATTTGTAGTATTTTACAAAGTGTTTAGAAGCCATAAATTTGGTTACAAACAAACACATCATTATGAATGTTCATAAAAACGCCGTTAATTTTGCCACAACAAAAACAATGGCTATATAATTGCATTAATAATCCAATTAACCACAAGCACTGAAATGTTTGGCAAACAAAAAGCTGCAAGAAACAGGCAGAGTGTGAGAGAATGAAAGTAAGAGATGCCCAGCTGCTTTTAATTTTAAGTTAATTTTATTATTGGATTTCAAATAAAGATTGTATTACTTCTTGGAAGGTTCCCTATGTTATTTTTTTTATTATTTATATTTTTCTATATTTCGTTTAATTTTTTATAAATTTTCTTCCCTTTAAACTTTTTCTGAAAAGTTAAAAAACAGAAGGAGGCAGCGCTGTTGACGTCGGTAGTGCGAACAGCGCCCGACCTACGACCACATTAAAAGAGAGACAGAAAGAGAGGGCGAAACAGCGCGAAGGAGTGCAAGGCAGATGGCTTAAAAGAAAAAAAGAAATAGCGAGAGAGAAACAGCCGGCGAAACGTCACTGTTAATGTTAATAACATGCAGAAGCACACTGCAAGCTGTAATTTTTGCTTTCTGTTTTCTGCGCTGGTATCATATCATTATGTTATCATTATCCTGTTATGTTATGTTACATATTCAAATCTTAAAATCATAGCAAATTATTTCTTTCTAAAAACAAGGGATATTTAAAGATTCATTCAATTTTTTGCCTCTTTCTTCTCAAATTCGGCTGTTGCTTATCAGTTGTTCTTTTATTTTTACTTTCATTCCATTACACACGAATCACAGAGAAGACGTGGCAAAATGCAAAAAAAGAGAATCAGTAGAGGTACCCACCCAAAAAAAAAAGAAAACCAAATAGACCAAAAATGTTTGTTGGGTGGGTGGTGATGGGGGCATGAAGTGGGTGGTGTATAGGCATTCTGGATGATTTTCAGGTAGGTGGTTTAAATATGCCTATGTATGTGTGTGTGGCCCCATCTTGATGTACTTTTATATATGTACTACGTGTACCGTGCATTAATGTATTTGCTGTATTTTGGTGTGTGTGTGTGTGACGAGATGTTGACAACAACAACAACAACAAGATGAGGGCCATGTGTGCATTTGTGGAAGTGCTGCGATTAAATCTTACACTCGACAAAAATGTAGCAGTCAAGAAAATTGGAACAATAAATATTAATAAAAAATAAGTTTTTTTAAGTATCAAACTATTTATCTAGTTTTTACGGTATTTCTATAAATATTTTCTACTTTTGTATTTCAAAATCTAAAGAATCTCTTCAAATCAAAATAATATCTAATTGTATTCTTACGATTACAATTCTGAAACTGCTAAAGTCTGATATTATTCATAATTGGAAGCATAAATAACTTTCTTTTAAATCATAAACAAATTACGTATACGTATTTTCTGTGTACCAACAAAGAGCATCTCAGAAGTGGGTGGAGAAGGGAGTTGGGGAAATAAGGCATGGATATAGGCACCCACCTTTCCCTTCTTCATTTCCTCCCACTTACACTCCCATATATACATACAGCCTCATCTTCGCATTATCCCCACGATTTTCCCCATTTTCCTCGCAATCTCCCCCCACTTTTCTTGTTCTTCCACTTTTTTTTCTGCCAATGCTAATTTATTTTCGCCTTTTCCACATTTTCATACCTCTTCTTGCGCTTCAACAAAAGCTGAACAAAGCCAAGAAAGAAGTGCAAGAAAAATGAAAATAAAGAAAACATCAGGGGGAAAAAAACTTCGGAAAAGCATCTCCAACAACAACAACAACTGCATCTGCATGTGCATCTCGACGAAACAACAACAAAAGTTCCAAAGTGCAATAACCGTTTGCCATTAACCCTTCGATAGCCCCAGGGGCTAGCCCATTGACAGCCAATCTCCGCGATCTGTGCGAAGCCAATTGCACAGCAAGAAATGAGGGGATATTGATATTAAAATATTTACGAAACCTCAAAAGTATTTCGAAAATGCACTTAAAGAATTTTTTAAGCATAAAAGTAAACTGTTAACTATTAAATTTGTATCTTAAAAGAACTTTGTATCTTTAAGAACTTAAAACCAAAACAAAAAAATTATTAAAAAATGAAATATAAAAGACTTACCCTTACTCCAATAAATCTGGCCTCCAGAAGTTCCTGTTTCCGTGGATTCAGCGACGTTTGAAATTGATCCATTGCTTTATAATTATTTTCTCCGATACGAATGTTTTTTTTTTGTAATTATTTCAGATATGATTGTTTTTTGGACAGAGATTTTTTTTAGTTTTTAAAAGTTTTTCTTATTAACATTTTATTGTTGATTTAATGCGATTGCAAATGTCGGCAATAAATGCGACAAGATTTGTCAGAGCCATGGCAATAAAATGGCAAATTCATCTGAAAAAAAAACAACAATCGCTATTATTCCATATATTTATGACACGCACTGTGTGTGGCTAATATAAAGTCCCTTATCTAAAGAGATTTCCACTTATCAACAGCATTTCGGTTTTATTTATAGCTCCAAACAAAAAATGACCAAAATTATATTATAAATTGTGTTTCAGTTAAACGTTTTCATTAATACTTGTATTTGTAAGATTAGAAGTCAAGAGGAATGCACCAAACAGAGGTTGTTTAGTTCTTATTTTGGCAATTAAGGTTTAGTAAAGCTAAATCCAATGTAACACTGAGGTTCATTTACCATTAAATTTAATAAGAAGCAATAGAAAATTACGTTTTTTTTGATTACACGGTTTTAAATTTAAAACATATCCGAAATTAAAAGTACAAAATTTACATTTTTACAAATAATAGCGATTTTAAAGTTTATAATTTTAAAACTACAACTTAAATGGTTAGCCTATGGGTTAATCTTCCAAGCTGAATTCCCAATAGGTTTTTGTCCGAATCGAATCTTTTGCTGCTGCTGCTGCCTATTTTGTTGTTGTATTACCTACGCTTTTGCGATCGGCATCTCAAATCCTCCAATTGGAGTGAGATTTTTGTTGTCGCTGCTCTTTCTTTTATTTTTGCGCACACGAGAAGAAAATGTAAATCAAAGAGTAGGTCTTGATAGCGGAAAAGACAAAGATAAAACGCCCAACTATGCCTACTAATTGGGATATGTACATATGTATATACATATATGTATATAGCTACGCTTCTAACTGCCCACAAATACAGACACACACACACACGTACGTACATTAAGTAGCTTTCAATGGTTTTCATTTGATTTTGATTTTTTTACCGGTATTTGTTTGCTTTTGTTTTTGCGAGTGTATTTATTTCAATTTACTTTTACTCTTTTGCATTTATGTGTGTGTGTTTGTGTGCGGGAATAAAATCGCCGGTTGTGAAAAAAATAAAAGTCACTACAACAATTACAACACTACGAAACGTTTTTTCTCTTGCTTATCGCTATCTCGCTCACACTCGCTTTTCGTTTTCTTTGCTATGCTTTTTTTTTTTCGTTTTTGCACACAACGCTGCGAGGTTAAGTTTGCAAATTTGGGAATATTTTTCTTTTATAGCGATTTCTACGGCTTTTCCGCCAACCACACAATTCAATGCAACAAGATTGATTTACCATACCATTTAGTATAGATAGCACATAGATTCCGGTGCCGATCGGATCGGAGATTGTCTTAAACTTTAAATTCAAGTCATTTATGTTAGGGTTTTTGTTGTTGTTGTTGCTGCTGCGGGTACTTCTTTTTTTTGAGCTTAATGTGTGGAAATTTTTTGGCGTGGTACTGCCGGCACGGCACTCCAGTGTTAAGGGCCAGTCGCCATGATCACAAAATGTGTTTACTTTGGTTTTTCACCGCCGATTTTTATCTATTTTGTCACAGTAAAAAAATATTCACAAATATTCACACGAACTCACACACGCAGATATGGGCTAAAAATATACTGTAATTAATTATAACAAAAAAATACCAAGAAATAGCGGCAGCACCTAACTTAAAGGTGTGTGTATAATCTACGATAAATAGGTGTCTAGTTTAGGATCGTGTCTTAGCTAAACCACATTGGTTTAAAATGGGCAATGTCGATAATATCGATATGTTGAATGAGCTCTATCGATTTACTGATATTTTTCTGTATTTTTCAACTAGCCAGCTGCGGTCACACTAGTTTCATTCACTTTCAAGTAAAACCATCGGTTTATGCTAGGCGGCGTGCGGCAAAAAAGAAACCGAAAAGCAGCCAATTTATTGTTGTGATCCGATCCTGTTTCTCCAGGCTTCATTTAACATAAGTACGTGTTTTTTGTTTAGTGCTTAAAGTGCGAGGTTACACACATCCAGCCATAGCAACAACAACAAACGAAGAGCGAGCGGACACGCAAAAAACAAAAAAGTAAAAAACCGAAGAAAGAAAACGAAGTACGCAAAAAGGAGAAAAGAGCAGCAGAAGCAGAAGCATTTACAACTACAGCAAAAGCAAGTGATTACGCATATTTCGTATGTTGTTCTGGTTTGCCATCTCTAAAAAATTACTTTCTTTTTCCCATACACAAAATTCGATTAATTGCTGGGAAGAAATATAGTATAACGTTTTTTTTTTTTTGGTTGTTTTATAAACAAAATTTGTAAAAGCCGCCAAAAGGCGCCGCTGCCGTCGTCACAGTCGACGCCAAAGAAAGTGTATGTGTGTGTGCGCAAGCAAAAGGCGAAAAAAAACCAAGCCCAAAAGTGAAATTTCTCTCCGATTTTTTTTTGTATTTTGCCTTGTTAAATATTTAAATCTAAACTAAATAAAAGGCATTCGGCGGCCTGTGTTTGTGTGTGAGTGTGCTTCATTCAGCAAAATAAAGGAATGGAGAGAAAAGCGAGAGAGATGTGTAGAGAGAGCCTTTTATCAACGGCTATCAGCGGAAATATTTGTTGCCGCACCCCGCTTGACCTTATTCTCTCTTGCTCCCTCTCCTGCTTTATCGCCCTCTCTTTTTGCGGGGTGTGCAAGGTGCAGCCGACGTCGACGTCGCCGCCCGCATTTTGCGCGTTGACTCATACGCACACAGAAATGCCGCAAACACATACGAACACGCCCCCACCGCCCCATCTCCTTTTCATCACATTCGTTATCCCCTCTTCCCTTTTGGGATCGTTTACCGTATCGTTAAATACCGTTTACCGTATTTTGCGGTATTTTTGCCAAAAATACTGCAATTCAATTAAAGGAAATGGTAAAAATAGTAATCGGTAAATCGGTTACAAATTGTTAAAATTTCTAAGAAGTTTTGATTGAAAGTAAAGTTTTGTAGAAAAGAGTATTTGTCATTCTATTATCACAATATTTTTTACTGTTGCTAAATTCTAAGAACATTTTGTGGTATTTTTTGTCACTGAAAATTCACGAAAATTCTTAGAAACAGTCTTGTTTTAAACTCAGTTATTTTGTGAGGTCGTTTTTTATGTGATTCGCTTTGGGGCATTTTTTGTATACAATTCTGTTGTGTATTTATCTCACGGTGACCCGTTTTCGGCGTTATTCTTCCCCTTCAAATTTCTTGATCTTTACGAACGTGCCAATTTTTTGGATTCTGCTGCTAATCGGAGAACCACTTTGACATTAGCGTTAGATCATCATGATCGTAATCGTTCTAGCTTCTTCAACTCTATCTGCATCATCATGTTCCATCTTTTCTTTTTGTTCATCACGCCAAATAAGCTAAAAAAAAAAATGTAAAAAATAAAGGAAACTGGAAACGTGACACAGAAAAAATGATTGGAATTCATGTTTTACAGTTTTTAATTAAGCTCAAGTTCAAGATCAATTTGTGCCTCCTGTTTTTTTTTAGTTTAATATTTAGTATTTCTTTATTATTTCTGACTCACCCCTTGATGATTCTCTAACAACTTGTTTTTGATGTGTGTCACACGTACACCGTATGTTTCCCCCATTTTCCCCAACATTTGCTAATTATTATTTCTTAGTTTGGTTACTAAGGGGCGTCAAAAGCTTTCAGCAATAAAACAAAAAGCGAACGAGGCGAAAAAAGAGAATTATGCGAAAAAAATGCGTTCTCAGTTCCTCCAAAAACTTAACCACTGAGCGGTTGACAATTTGTTTGTACAAAAGAGAGGACTTCGTGGTGTGTTTGGCTTATTAAGTTCATTGATTTTTAATTTTCCACTCTGTGCATTTTTACAATTTTGCCGTAGCTTGAAAATAATGTTAATTTTAGGGGTAAGTTATAATCAAAATAAAATAAATATTATGCATTACTTGGTATTTTTCAATAGAACGTAAAAATAAAAGAATAGAAAATGTTAATCAGGGATTCAGAATAAATCTAAAATAAAAATATTTGTTTATACTTTTTAGTAGATCATAAATACGAAATATTTGTAAACTTTTAGGCTATATAATATTTGCGAACAACAAAAGTCTATAAATTTACAGAATTTTGTTTGTAGAAAGTTGATTTATTAGTTCAAGTTCCCTATAAAAGATGTCATGGCAACCGTGGCTACGAAAATTGAGCCACATTTACATTTAGTTTGTTTATTGATATTCCCAGAAATCAAAATGTTATTAAAACTATTAATAGGGTCAGTTGAAATACAGTTATAATCTATAAAAATACAAAATTCTAGAAAATTAACAGTTAACACATTTTGAACTTTTTTTTTACCCTGACCTTTATCTAATATAATTCTCCGACAGGTGAGAATAGATTAACGACAGATGTAGCAAAAAAAAAAAAAAATATCCACTGACTCATGATCTTCACGATCTCTCGCAGAGTGACACAGTTTCTTAACATTTTTCTCATCTTTTGTTTGGCATCTGCGGGCATTTGCTAACTTGGCCCAAAGGCAGAAGATAGCGCAACTCGGAAACTTAGCCTAATTTATAGCCATCAAGCTGTGATTTGCTCTAATTTCACTTCTAATGGGAGTTCGTCAAGGGAGACAAACAAATCAGACAACAAATGCGTTCTTTTTCTTGGCCAAGAAACTTTATTATGCCCAAAGGCTTGTTTAATACGCATTATTGTTGTTGGCCTAATGCAGGGTTGATGTACACTTAATTTGCTTTTTGGGCAAAAACGTAAGAAAAGTTTCATGTAATGTGATTTGCCAAAGTGAAGAGTTCTGATTAATTGGGATTTTATGATGTCTGTCAAATATCTCATTAATACATATTTATGGCATTGATTATCAGTTTTCTGTTTTAATGGCTTTATAAATTCTTAATTAAATGTTAAAACAAAGATTGATCAATATTTTCCCATCGCAAGGCATTTAACTTTTAGAGATCTTCCCAGTTGTTTATCTATTACAAATACAAATCGACAAATTCGCGTAATAATTTATATGTTTGTATACGTTTTCTTCAAGTTTTCTTACATCATCGTATCTAGCATCTTTAGAAGTTCTCTGTTATATATATATATATATATAAACGAGTATATATACCTTATACAGGTTTTATTTAGGTTCTCAAGTGTGTTTCTCCATGGCTTTGTTGTTGCTGTATCGCATTTGAAGATATTTTATCACAGTTGACTATGCCTAGGTTTTAATTATGCTCTCCTCGCTTCAGAAAACACTTCCCACGCATTGTTCGTATATGTACCTATTTTTCTTCTATATATGTATACCTTTCGGTGTGAATTAAGGTTTTTTTTTCTTACTGTGCAGAGCATAAGATATTGCTATCTCCAAAGGCAGATCAAACTTGTTCGTCCAAATAAAACGCTTTGTAAATGGCTCTGAGCCACGCATTTCGCTTGACAAGTTTTCCTCAGCTGTTGTGCAAAGAAAGTTGTAAAAAAAAAAGATGTACAACAAATGAACAAGTTCCCCAACACTTTCTCAGGCTGCGAAAAAAAAGATACTTTGCAATTTCGAGAAGGGGTCAGAAAAAATGTACAATAGTTCAAAGCGACAGGGCCGCAGAGGCAATTAAAAAAAAGCATTAAGCTGGGAAAATCATTCAGAACATTTTCAGTCGTATTAATAGCTGTTGTATTTTAAGGGTCTTAATAGATTCCAAATTGTATAATATATAATGACTATTTACAAATATATTTTCTTTATTTTACAAAATAATTCTTATATTAATTCATAATTGATATATAGATATATAATTTTGTAACAAATTTTTCTTTCTGTGTTGAAGCAAATTTTAAACTTGACATTGAAAGCGTTGCACGCGACTGCGCAGCGGCGTCGAAATGGTTGACTAAATGAAAAAAATTCAAATTTGTGACTCAGCCAGAAAAAATAGCATTCCAATGAGAGTTATTTTCGTAGACAATTCTGACAGAATGCGCCGTAAATAGTAGTAAAATAGCATAGCTTTTTGTATTTGTAAGCTGTTATAACTTGTTTTGAGTATGCGAAATACTATGGGTACTGTTATTGAGTGTAACTTGAATAATATTAAAAAGTCAAAAGCTGAAAGTTAGAGTAGTTATTACAGTATTTCCATAACCAAAAAGTATACGGAATAATAACATTATAAACAATGAGAAGTGCTATCGATAGATATATCAAAGCATCGATAAATCGAATCCTTGTTTATTATGAATCGAATTATGTTATATAGTGTGATTCGCCTTAATAGCACAAGTGCATTGAACTGATCTAACGGAGGAATGGCCATTTCTGCAATGAAATAAGAAAAGTTCACTTGTAGAGATTTTCTTTTCAGCTTGATTAATGCACTCTATATACACCATTTCCGTCTCTTTCTTATGGCTGCAAACCATCTCTTTTCCACTTCTTTCGAGTGTTCAGACCTGCATTTAATGATGTACAAAAAAAAGAAGAATAAAACCCATATTGAAATGCAAAATTCCCACACAAAGTCAAAGAAGTTGTGATGACAAGTTGCAAAAAAGCAATGAGACAATATTATGCGTGCATTTTCCATATTTTTTTTTTTTGCAACACATATGAGTCGGTTTATTGAACTTAATCTTGTGCGGAAGTTTTACAAAATCACGCCTCTTCACTTTGGAGAATGCAATAATAGCAGAAAAAAAAAATACAAACTAAATGAAATGAAAAAAAGAAAAGCGGGGCGACAAGAAATCGGCTGCACTTGTTTTTAAATTCTGCCAATGGCGCAGCAAAATAAATCAAAAAAAAAAAGAGAGGGAAAACGCTGTGGAAATGCGGGGCTAGGCTAAAAACTTGGCAGAAAATTAAACCCAGTCAAATAGCAGACAGAAAACCAAAAAAGAGGCGTGGCATTTAAAGGGATTTTTAGCATTTCAATTGCTCAATTATGCCTGGTATT